AATTGATCTTCACGTCAACATCGTTAACGAATAATTATCCATTCGTATAAAAACTGGTACCTAGAAACGGAAACAACAAAAGTTAATTAATGTTCATATTAAAATTAACAGACTGACTGTTCGAAAGAAATAAAATTAATAATTCAAATAAGTTGACTGAACAAAAACAATCATTCAATGTAACAATCAACAAAAGACCAAACGCATTGTTGACACCATTCAACAAATAACGATGATCCACAACTAAACACACACTCCTTTTATAACCCCTTATTTAGACCTTCCGAATACCAACGCAATTAAATACGTATTCAATACAAAGAGAGTTTTTCAATGTCAATACGATGCGAAAAGTAATACACATGTATACTTGTTATTAATTCACATCTTTGGAATGTCAATGCAATGCACTTGTATTATTATTATTATTAATTATTAATTATAGATGACGGAATAAATACCAACCCAGCGTGTCAAGATAGAGCAAGAGCAATTCTAGATCTTCCAAAATGTGCCACATGGTGAACAATCCGCATGGGTATTCATGGTGAACAACTAGCATGGTTATTCATGAATCTTGATTCTTTACTTCAATTTGTATGTAGGAGATGAACAATTTATTTATATTGCTGAAAGGTAATGTTCTTTATGTTTCTATTTAAAACATTGTGGAAAGGTAATTTTTTCTATTCTCACTATTTATTGACCGAATTTTTTCGGTTGTCTTTGGTACCAGTGATCATCATTTTCATTTTTTTTTTTTTTTTTTTTTTTTTTTTTTTTTGCATAGTGACTGAAGTAATCTACCATATATTGTTGTCTACAGATGTCTGCGACTGAGGTGACTTGTTATGCTAGCCTGGAACACAATAAAAAAAGACATAATCTACAAGGCCATTCGTAGATAGAGATGTTTTGAATCTCTGACAGTGCCTATTATAGCAAATTCCCCTTATCTTATAGAGGAAATATCCCTAAATTGCAAGAACTTCAGTGAACTAAAGGTCATGGGTCCTTTTGATGTTCTCTTTGCTTTTACGATAGCCAGAATTCTTCCAAATTTGAAGGTTTTGAGCTTGAGATGTTCGATGATAGTTAAGGATGCCCTATTGCTTATACTGGATGACGTACCAAACCTGGAAATCCTCAGCATATCACATTGTCTTTTTATAAAAGGTCCACTACTTCCTCCATCGTTGCCCAAAAAAATTATTAAGAAGTTTTTAACATGTATTGAGTCCTTGTGCATCATGTGCTAGTGTACCCGAAGTGATGAAGGCTTTCTGAGGTGGTACAAGTATGAGGAAGGCTTATGGAAAATGGATGAGACGAAGTCTCTTGCTCTTTGATTAGAACAGTGTAAAGACTGTAATTTATTTGTCAGGAACTACAGCGTATGTACTTCTTCTTTACATGTTGTTTTGCTTGTATATAATATCTACATTATATGTTCTTGAATAGGCAAATATAGAATTGGTCCATTGGGTTTTAGGTTGTCATCCTCCTAACGCTTTTGTCTTAGCTCGTCAACATTGTAATACTTGTGTGACGATCTTCTCCCATTAGAAAAGCATCATCTGTTTGCACGATTTTGTACATATGGTCAAATTTCACTTCCTGTTGCTCTAAATTGATCTTCTGTTGTTGATCAATACACAATCAGGTGTTTTGTCTATTATTTACATTTTTAGAATTAAATTACAAGGATTTCTCTATTTTTGATTTATCATATTTATATATCTACATTTGTTCCACCTTGAATTGCAAATACTGCTTGCGATTCATGTTATTTTATCTAGGGAATTATTATTGCTTATGTTATTGAATTTGAAATTCTATTGGATCTATAAATGTTAGTGTCAAATTCATTTGTATTGTGAGATTAAGTATTTGATAGTGAGGTTTTGAAGGAATATTTGATTTTCCTTCCCTTATAGTTTTATATTAAGTCACACTGATATTACTCAGCTAAAATGGTAATATTAAAGTTTCACAGTGCGCTGTCATTTTGGCTTTGTAAAATTTGCAAGCAATAAAAAACGTTGTCGTTTAAAATACTGTTGATATTTAATTACTTGAAGTAAATTTTGGGATTTAGGGTTTTCTCTGTCAGTTCCAGCATTAAGAGCATTTGTCCCAGTTTGTTTGTTGCATTTTCTACATCCGTGTTTTATCGTTAACTGAAATGGAGTTACGTAAGTACATTTTCTTTAGTTATGGTGACAATGTTGTTTTCCATTTTACATTGGTCTAATTAATTTGTCATTGATTTTAACTTTGATTAAAGTGCATGTTTATTCTTACATAGCTCCAAGATTTGTTATTATTGTTATAAGAAGTTGTTCTTAGATAGTTGTGCTAATAATTTATTGTATTCGCGTTGTTTATTTGTTTCTTTGGTAGTTGTGTTGCAAATTATTCAGTTGGTCTTTTTACTGTTGAAATGGGTGTTTTTTTTATTAGGATTTTGTTTGTTCTGCTTGGTTTGTTTATCTGTTGTTCCGGTAGTCATGTTGCAGATTATCTCGTTAGTAAATCTACTATTGAAGTTGGTGTTTTTCTTGTTACAATTCTATTTATTATCTTATTGTGTTTAGTATATATTGTAATATTGTCATTGTTTTATGAATCCATGTTATGAAATGCCAGTGGTATCTTATCTTGTTGTGTTTCGTATATATTGTAATATTGTCGTTTGTTTTTATTGTAATAATGGCTCAAAAAAACTTGATGAAATTTATTCGAATACTTGATTCTGAAGTACTGTATAGAGCAGGATCAAGTAGTGATTTCAAGTTAGAATCATTAATGCATGTACAAACTTCTGTGTTACCTACATCAACCTCCAATCTGTGAAACTTGATTCTGGTTCCTGCCATGTTAAACTAACTAAAGAAGAAGATAATCAATTAGAAGAAATTCCATTACGTCAATTGGTGAAATGGCAGAAAATTTGTCGGCAATAGGGTCCAAATATGAACTCTGAACAAAAATGGAAAAATCTTTGTAAAGAAGATCTAGACAGCAAAAATTTTGGCCTAGGGAAAGATTTTTTCACTGTATCATATGAATATATACTTATGGCATGATAATGTTAAGTTGGTTTCATTATTTTTGAAATAGACTTATGAAGGTTTCTTAGAAATTAGAGAATGTTGGCTTGTTACAGAAGATGTGGTTGCAGATTTGACAAAACAAAATGAAGATGTGATTGCCGAGGTTTGCAGATTGAAAGAACAGTTGAAAATATCAAAAGATGCATTTGAAAAGGTCAAAATCGAATTGAAGCATTGTGAAGAATCATGTAGAAATGTTGAAGATGTGGTTGCAGATTTGACAAAACAAAATGAAGTGTGATTGCCGAGGTTCACAGATTGGAAGAACAGTTGAAAATATCAAAAGATGCGTTTGAAAAGGTCAAAACCAAATTGAAGCACTGTGAAGAATCATGTAGAAATGTTAAAGAGTCTTTTGCAAATGAGTGACAACAAAGGGAAGTCTTTAAAAAGAAAAGTTATGAATTGTCTGAAGAAAATAATAAGATTAAATCTTTAATTGCATAAGCTGAGAAAGATAAAGAAGAGGCTTATGATTCGGTGTCAGATATGTTTTTGACCACCAAAAAAGCTTGTGTCAAAGAATTTAAGGACAGATTCCTAATTGAAGATTCTAGTTTTTTAGAGACAATTGTGTTAAAAAATGAGGAGATGCCGTCTAATTTTGATTATATTGATTGCAATGCTATTGTACCTTTCTCTGGTCCACTTAATGGCATTCTGTAAACATTTAAACCGTTTGTTAAGCATTTTCATTGTATTCTGTCAAAATTTTGCTCACAAGTGTTTATAATCGTGTTATTATCTTGGACATGGATGTATTCAGTTGATGCTAATTTATGTGCATGCGAAACAAAATCTCCAGTTTATGTAATGTCATTTCTATAAATATTTAAACTTTTGATTGTAATATTAATGTTAAATATCTTGATGACACTTGTGACGAGATAGTTTATAGATCAGTTGCGTGTGCAAAAAATATGTATTTATAACAGATAATACATTCAATGTACTGTTCATCGTATCTGACAATAATAATATAAAACATATAAATATCTTTGTATCAAGTAAGTTATATGTATTTATTTACACATTTAATGTGAGCTTTTCATATTCATATAAATATGTTTAATTTTTCACATCAATCTCTCGTAAACAATCCCTTATATTATATAGAATGTATCAATCCTTTTTGTTATAAACAATGATTCATATAAGATAGAACATATTAATCCTTACAGTTAAAGACTTCTTTGAAAGCAATATTTGTCAATGTCTCTGTCGATTCATCTTCTTGCAAGGCTAGCAGAATCTTGATACCTTGTCTTGAAGTTACTCTTCATAGTGCCACGTACAATTGACCATGTGTAAAGACTTGATGGTTCATATACAATCTTACTATTTTTAGTGATTGACCCTGGCTTTTGTTTATTGTCATACAAAAGCTAACTGTCACAAGTAACTGTCTTTTCTTCAACCTGAAAGGCCACGTCATATCTACATCTGACATTATTATTCTGGGAATTGTGACAATATCCCCAATGTTTGACCCGGTGATAATTGTTGCTTGTATGGACCATTTTCCTAAATGGGTTATGATCAATCTGGTTCCATTGCAAAGACCATCAGATTGATTAAAATTACATAGCGACATAATTAGAATGCCAATTTTCAGATGCAATTCATGTTTGGGCATGCCAGAGCACATCAGAAAATTAAGAAATTTGGTGAGGTAGAGAATGTCATCATTGTTTGAGATACCTGCTGCTTTACAAGTGTTGTCCGAGCTGAAATACATCTTTCCATCTATTGGCAGACTCTAGGTGATGTAGTTGTTCAATCTATGTACTGTCTCATTTTTGGGTGTCAATATTGCTCTCTCTCTCTCTCTCTCTCTCTCTCTCTCTCTCTCTCTCTCTCTCTCATATAGTCAATATTATTTATCTAAGCGGATAAATCTGGAAAAATAGCGTTCATAATCGTTTCTTCATGACTAGCATGTTGATCAATTTTCAAGTCTTTAGGTATTTGAATGTAACTTTCATCTTCCGCAACGTCCCTTCCTTCTCTGATATTAAGTAGCCATTTATCAAAAGCCTTTAAGTTATCCAATTTCATTGGGTTCACCAAGTTTGTCTTCAACCTCATGTTCTCTATAAGTGTGAACACTGTTACATGTTTCCAAAGGGAAGATGATGATAAAAATGCCTGTATTATGTCATGTTTTTTCCTTTTTGGTATAACTGGTAGAATCTGTCTGAAATCACCACCCAGGGCAACGGTGAGGCCTCCAAATGTTTTATCTACGTTCGATTGATATTTTTTAGACAAAATATCTTTCAAAGTTTTGTTAAGAGCTTCAAAGCAGTACTTGTTTGCCATGGGTGCTTCATCCCAAATGATCAAAGTTGTTTGCACAAGTAGTTTGGCCAATTGTGTCCCCTTTTTTATATAACATGTACTTTCCTCACTGATATCTAAAGGAATTTGAAAACGTGAATGTGTTGTTCTTCCACCGGATAGCAGCAATGTAGCAATTTTTGATATATCTACGGCCAGTACAATTTTACCCTCAGATCTTAATTTGGCCATGATTGTTGACCATAGGAAGGTTTTTCCTATTCCACCATGTCCATAAACAAAAAATGGTGTTCCACTTTGGTTGTTGATAGAATCAAGGATCAAATCATATACATGTCTCTGGCCATTGTTAAGACCCTTGTATAGATGATTGTGCACTGTTTTCAAGTTGTCGACATCATAATCTAATTCTTCAACAATTAATCTATTATGTGAATTCTCAAAAATGGAACAATCAGGAATTGGCATTCCAGGGAAATCGGCCAAGGATTTTTCTCCCCTTTTCATGAGCCCATCAATCTCGAACAATGCATAATTGTGAATTTGTTCCTCAGTGCATCTCAATTCTGTTATCCACATTTTCTGTTTAAGAATGTAGGGAATGCCTTTAGATAGGTGTTTTGCATTTGCTCTCCATAAGTCTCTTGGACTAACCACTTCATTATATACAAGAATAGTTACAAAGAGCTGTCTTAATTGTCTTCCGGTAGCCCACGTTGATGCTTCATTGTAATAGCTTATTTTCTACGAGTATACTTAAAAAAATATACTAAGAAAACACACATGTTTATTATATAAAAAGTAGATGTGCCCAAATTTTCCTTGACTAAACATATAATTCTTTACATAATACAAAAATAACATAAACAAAAGCTTTTACAACGGTGGACAGTAGTGCCATTTCTCTCCACTTCTCGACGTCCATCCGACCGCTTCTCACCTATTTCTTGCAAAACATGGAAAAATAACGGGGTGAGTACAAAATGCTCAGTAAGTAAATCCTCTACTCTTTCATCCTCGTGACTTTCTCTTTGGTTCTTTCCTTACTCTATTCTTTCTCTTCTTCATTCTCTCTTTGTTCTTTCTCTTTTCTTTCTCTGTTTCTAGTTCTAACTGTTCTTTCCTTTCTTTCTAATTTCTCTATTCTTTCTTTCTCTCTGTTCTTTCTTTCTTTCTTTTTGTTCTTTCTTTCTCTCTGTTCTTTCTTATTCTCACTAACCATGATGGAAATCATGGTAACATCCATGGATGAGATGCACATGCACTTATGCAAAGAAATGCATTTTCTTTCTTCTTTTCTATTTCTTATTCTATTTTTTTTTTTATTTTATTTTTTTTTTGTTTTTGTTTTCTTGCTTGCTCAAGTACTTCTTTTCTTTTCTTGCTTGCTCAAGCTTTCTCATTCTTTCTTATTCTTTGCCGATAGGACTCGGTTAATGCATGGATTTGAAACCCTGGCCATGTGAGTGAGTACAGTCCTCATCTACATGCACTCTTGCGGACTGTACAAATTCTTTCTTCTTCTTAGGCCACTCAATTAAGGTGGCGTGCATGTAGGAAATTCTTCTTGGTACAACCCTCATTCACATACACTTTTACGGGCCGTACAAATTCTTCTTCTTCTTAGGCCGTTCACTTAAGGCAGTGTGTATGTGGGAATTTTCTTCTTATCACCCACGGGTTCCCTATCGCAACAACCTTTGCTTCTTTTTATCTTTTTACACTTCTTTAAATAAAATTCAGATTTGGAACTTTTTAATATTCTCATTTCTTTCTATTTAATCTTTAACATTCTTTAGTGTTTTTTCATGCTCTTATGAATATGTACGCATGTAGATGGCTTCATGCTTATAATTCTTTCTAAATTCACATGTTTAAATGCAATTATGTAATATGGAATGCAAACATGCCATTCTCTACCATCTACAAACTCATCTCAATACAACACATGATCATACTCATATAAACATTTCTCTTTGACATTTTATCAAACAACTTATGTGCACAAAGTAACCCTAATTTGGCTACATTTCTATCTCTTTTCTAAGCTACCAAAAATTGGGAATTAAACCCTCCATATTCAATGCCAAATCTGCCCAAAATATATACTTCAAAATTTCCTCTCCAATTCTTCCAAATCTCATCCAAACATTCATCAAACATCCAATACACCAACACAACTACTCATGGGTAAATTATAATAATCATTCAACACCAAATCCATCAACAATTTCTACATATAAGACATATGTATACATAAAAGAAATTCTCTACACCATATCTTAAATTATACTTAGGGTAGGATTTACTTACCTTATATAAGAGCAATCCAACACTTTAAAAACCTTATTTGATCCAACTCCTTTTCTCTTAAATCCTATGAACATAAATCATCAAAATTCAACACTTTAAAAACTAAAAATCACTTATTAGTGCAAGGATCTTACCTATAGAAGCTTAAGATTGAAAATCCACTCAAAAACACCCAAAACCTATGAATTTCCTTTGAAGAAGAATTGAAGAATTTGAGAGAATATGGAGGTGAAAGGGGCGTGCATATGGGTAAGAGTGGCTAGGGTTTCACTCTTCAATTTGATATAACTTAAAAATTATATATTAGTTTCCCATTTTACCCTTGCACTTTCTTTAAAATTCCATCTATGTCCCGTAGTCAATTACCATAATGTCCTCATTTTTATTGCATTCTCCATGAAATTCTATCTCTTTTCACTCCCCCCAATTTCAACTAATTTTGAGTGAAAAGACCATTTTACCCTTAATGCAAGTTTAAGGTATTTTCTTCACATTTTCTCAAAATAACTTCAACAAAATCAACTAAGGGTATACGAACATAAATTAAATTACGTACCTCCATGTGGGCATTACATTCATCCAAGCAATCATTCCACTCTTTATCACCATCGAGTAATCCTAATGCATAACATGCATCTTTGAATGTAAGGAATATTTCTCCGTTGACAGTTCAAATATCTTCAAATGATGTTGCTCCTTTTACTAAGTTCAGGAGCATTCACAAATAATATTTCTCACCACTATCTGGAAATGCAAAATACACCCTGCCAATACACCTTGATTTTTGTTGTGGGGACCATTGCTTTTTGTGCCCTTCCAAACCCATTCGCTCAGAAAATCAAGTTAAGTCAATGACCTTGCAGAATGGTGTTGTTGATTACATTTCATCTATTTAGTCAATTTTGTTTGCGTAACAATCTTGCTTTCCAAAAGTTGAACCAAACACTTACTTGGATAGAAAACAATTGTTTGTTCGTTCTCTAAGTGGAATGGCAATCTTTCAATGCTGGTTCTCTGTAATACATATCAAACTTAAATATCCTCCAGCAAGCTTCCATAGAAGAGATATATCTGTAATGTTTTTGATTGAATTACTTAATATTGTACAAATATCAATGAACAATATAAAAACAATATATTTGACATATTTTGTACATACCTGTAGTCCATATATGCCTTTATTTCGTCTTTGTCCTGTAAAATCTCATATTGATTGTTCCGTTGACCATTGTTTCAATTTCCATAGAAACTCTTGTTCTGTCCAGCCCTTTGTTGACATACTTGAATAGATACTTGATTGATCTATGTTGAGTACATATCTCAATATTTATGTGAGCATCAAACTTAGCCAAAAGATTCCTACTATAAGAAACAACAAAACGGTTATCCAGTTTGATACCCTTTTTCTCAACAAATGCTCCATTATTCTGTCTTCTATACATTAGGTATCTGTTGTCATCCATAGATGTTTCATTGACAAATTTCTTTGGAAAATGTTTTTTACATCTTCCTCTCTCCATACATGGTGAATTCTTGTTAACATCACCGCACAGATCGTGGATCATGTGATTGTCCACAGCTGAAAAAGCAACACCATCAGTTTCCTTATTTGGAATTTCAGCAGAAACTATTTCATCTATTTTGGATACCAAAGGATTCTTATATTGGGAATATAGAAAAACCAATATATGAGCATGTGGGAGGCCTCTCTTTTGGAACTCAATAGTGTAGATAACTGACAGAAACAATTATAACGTTTTTAGCAATAGTTGGTATAACATAATTTCATATAATAAATTATCAATGTACTACAATTTGTAACAAAAGTAGAGATATTATTCGTTGGAATACTTACTTGCCACTATTTCACCAAAATATTCACCTTTTTTTATATCTCGCATTAGCTCAAGCAATTTGATCTCAAAAACTCTGCAAACTGCTATTATACTTTATTGATCACATTGTCCAATACAATTATGTAGATATTGTATCTCTGGCCACTTGGGATTACAGGTGGACGTCAGAAAAATATATGGATATCCATAACATCTGCAAATCGCCATTACATCTTGATAATTCTGAACATGATATCGAGGACTGCTAGTGTGAGACGAAGGGAGCAATGTAGATTTCCCTAGATGTTATGCATTAACATCATCCTTTGAAATGGCATCCATCAACCCACTATACAAATCACTCCTCAATTTTTTCTGATTGTTTCTAATCCAATGAAATCTTTCCTCTTCAACAGCCATATATGCATCGACAATATATTGCTGCAATAATCTACCTGATTTCAACAAAATATGCCCTTCACATAATCTATACTGCAATCAAAATGCATAATATTCTCTCATGCTTAGCCTGTTTCTCTTTGAAGACTTTTTGTTAGGAAAGTCTTTATGGTTAATGTTGATTCTGTATCCATCTTCTCCATATAGAAATAATATTGGATAACTTAATGCCATAAAGCTTGGATGCAAGTCAGGAATTCTTTGAAGACCCTTTTTTCGAATGATGAACAATGAAATCTTTTCCAGTTTCTGAAATTCCAATATCACCGAAAATTAAACCCGCAATTTTAGATGCAATTAGAAAATTGTATTGTCTTCCATCCTTTTCCCTTTTCATTTTTAACTGCAGATGCACATCTCTAATATCATTCCAATGGATATGGTCCCTAACAGAAAGAAAACTTTTAACCAATTCATTGTTCGCATCAAACATCAATTGCAATTCCTGTACTAATTCCCTGTCAACAGTAGCATCGGCTGTATTACCTCGTATAGAATTCAATCTATGACTAGTTTTATACTCTGTGTCATAAATATAAAGCAGAGAAAACTGAGGTTTCCTTCCTTCAAGTGGAAGTAACGATCTTATTCGGGCCTTCACAGTGAATGCACTTGTAAGATTGTTCATCAAAGTTCTAGGACTCTTTTTCCACTATGCAAAGAAATAACGTGTTATTTTTAGAAAGTAATTGACATGTTCTGTTAATTTAGAAATTCAAAATTAATTTTTTTTTTTACTAAGATTAATACTTGAGTTAACATTTAAATATGTATAACTAACAATGTGACACTTGTTACCTCTTTCCGTCAAGCGAGATTTTGAACCTCAATTTGTCTTCGATAAAGATTTCTTTTGTTTTTTCAATGTCAAAATTGTTCAGCAAAGATCTGCACCTTTATTTTTACAAAATAATGAAATAACATTATTGAATGTTTAAACATATGTTGTCAGATTCAAGCCTCACGATTGTA